CTGTGAGATTGGCTAATAGATGAAAAATTTCATTTAAAGAGCAGAATCATGGAAAATGCATCTCCAAACCTACCTTAAGCATTTAAATTTTCTTTAAAACACATAAATGTACTTATAATAAAAATTGCTTTTGATTACTCTTCCAAAAATTACTAATTTTAAGTTCATTTTTAAAATATATGATTTAAAAAGATCTTTCTTGCATAAATCATACCCATAATGTGTTGTCTATGGTTTTCAATTTTGATTCTTTTTAATTGGTGCAAGAATTTGAAGACTTCGGGCTTCCCTGGTGGCGCAGTGGTTAAGAATCCACCTGCCAGTGCAGGGGGCACGGGTTTGAGCCCTGGTCTGGGAAGATCCCACATGCCGCGGAGCAACTAAGCCCGTGCACCACAACTACTGAGCCTGCGCTCTAGAGCCCGCGAGCCACAACTACTGAGTGCACGTGCCACAACTACTGAAGCCTGCGTGCCTAGAGCCCGTACTTCACAACAAGAGAAGCCACTGCAATGAGAAGCCCACGCACCGCAACAAAGAGTAGCCCCTGCTCGCCGCAACTAGAGAAAGCCTGCGTGCAGCAACGAAGACCCAACGCAGCCAAAAATAAAGAAAGAAAGAGAGAATAAGCATGCAGCCCAGCCAACAAGAGAAGTGCACAGGTATTCGAAAGCACAGGGGTTCCAATAACCTTGAGCGTTTAGCGTGTTCTGGGCATCAGGTCCCATATTTTCAGAGGGCATGAAAAGCAGTGATTGATCGGAAGTTGGTTGAGTGGAGATCAATTAAAAGAGCTGTTTCTGTGCAACATTATTAATACCTCATCCAATCTTGGATACTGTGCTCTAGAGCATTCTGGGAAAAATGGCGAGATTGGAGTATGTGGCTTAGACTTTAAGCCTAAGCAAAGTTTCTAGTCTCTCCCCAGTCTAATATGGGGCCAGTGTCTCTCTGAGGGCTGGGCACAGAGATTATACCCCATGGTGTGTAAGAGGAAGTTCTAGAGAGAGGCAGAGTCTGAGTTTCAGCCTTTTAGGTACAGTGACCTGCCCACTCATCATCGTGGTGCTGTCAGGGGCGTGGAACGTGGATGTCAGGTAGATTAGCAGCTCTTCTGTTTGGAAGGGATACTAACGAGTGGGTGGCCTGAGGTGGGCGCAGCTGACTGACAGCAGACACCCATATCAGGAGTTGGGAGATTTGCAAGATGGCAGCTCAGGCCCAGCACAAGGAGGTTGCAGATGGGGAGTGTCTCCTGCTAATACAGGTTAGCGTGGGCTACAGCAAAGCCCACTCCTGTGACATGTGGCCTGGGGCACGTGCCAGGGCTTGGTATCCTTTATCTGTGCCCTCAATGTCTCCGGTTATTTGTTTAATGATACAGTAATTCTTTTTTTTTTTTTTTTAATATTTATTTATTTATTTATTTGGCTGCACCGCGTCTGAGTTGCAGCATGTGGGATCTTCGTTGCCGTGTGCAGGATCTTCGTTGCCCCATGTGGGATCTTTTAGTTGCAGCATGTGGGTTCTTAGTTGCAGCATGTGGGATCTAGTTCCCCGACCAGGGATCGAACCCAGGCCACCTGCACTGGGAGCGTGGACTCTTAACCACTGGACCACCAGGGAAGTCCTGATACATTGGTTCTTGAAAGATGACACATTAACTTTTAGAAGGATCTGGCGCTAGCTCAAAATTTATATTTTGACTTAACTCCAGGAACTGGCTAATGTCCATGATATTCAGATCCTAAGACTGTATGAATGCACTGTTCCCACCAAAATTGCTTGTGTATTAAAATCACAAATATGAGGCGCTATTAGAACTCTTTAGGGAGTGAAGTTACAAAAAAACAATAACTTAACAGAAACTTAATGAAGCCTGGAGGCAAAAGAATAAACACAGCACATGTCGTTACCCTTTAAAAATCTTTAGCTTTTTCCCTTGCATCTTTTGATTACTGTGTTAAGTATGTAATATCTTCTCAATGCGTGGTTTTGCTTTTTTAAATTGTGCATGTGTATTGATTTGCAGGTTCCATTTCCTTGTTATTATTTACAAAGTTTTGATATTCAGATATCCTAAATCATTATATAGAGAGAAACATTTTTTAAGGAAAAAAAAATATCATCCTTAATCCTACTACCTTGCCTACACAGCAAGCATTTTTATTTCTAATTTTCAGGTTTTGCCTTAGAGCCATATTTTCCCTGGATGTAATCACTGTAAATATACAACTTTCAGATCTACTTCTTTCACCAAATCGTAATTGTCTTCCTCTTTACAGTTATGTTAGAATTATAATGTTAATAACTACCTACTGCCCCAAATGGAACTCCTGAGCGTTCCCTGGCAAAACCTGCACCTTCCCCATCCCTGAGTCTGCCTTAATCCCTCCCTTTTTCCCTCACCTCACCTCTAATCTGACAGGAATCTTACTGACCCCACTTTCAGCCTGGTGTATTATTGACAGTTCTCTAGGGCTGCCACAACAAAGAATCACAAACCAGGTGACTGCAAACAACAGAAATGTATTGCCTCCTAGCTCTGGGGGCTGGAAGTCTGACATCAAGGTGCTGGCAGGACCATGCCCCCTCTGAGACTTGTAGGGGAGAACCCTTCCTTGCTTCTGACGGTGGGTGTTGGTCCCCGGCACTCCTCAGCTTACAGCTGCGTCACTCCCATCTGTCTTCACGTGGCATTCTTCTCTTCCTATAAGGACACCAGTCATATTGGATTAGGCCCCAGACTAATGACCTCATCTGACCTTGATTGTATTTGCAAAGACCCTATTTCCAAATAAGTTCACATTCACAGGTATCTTTTTAGGGGGACACAACTCAACCCAGAGAACCACCCCTCTCTCTCCGCCCCACCTCCTTCCTGCACTGTTCTGGTTTACCTCCCCCCGCCCCTCCACTTCCTGACTGGGATTATTGTACTAGCCTCCTAGCTGGTTTTCTACTGTCACATTTGCCTGCTATGGTCTATTCTTGATTCCTTTGGTCAGAACCCTCCAGAGACTCCCTAATCACTCAGAGTAAAAGCCAAAGTCCTGGCACTGGCCCTGCGGTCCCTCCTGATCTGCAGTTGTTCTCACCTCTCACCCCTCTCTGCTCCAGCCACTCTGGCCTCTTTGCTGATTCTCCGGCTCACCAGGCATATTCCCACCTCTGGGCCTTTGCACCTGCTGTTGTTCCCTTTGCCCAGGACGCTCCCTCCCAGATATCCACAGGGCCCATACCTCATTCAAGACTCTGCCCAACTGCCACCTTCCTGACCACTGCTATTACATCATACCCTCACTCTCACCCACCCTGCCACAGTCTCTGTTCCTTTGTGCCATTTTACTTTTCTCCAAAACACTCTCCACCTTCTAAGAGACTGTGTTCTTTACCTGTTTATTTTCTTTTTTATCTACCACCACCATCCAAATGGAAGCTTCTCTAGGACTGGAGTTTTTGTCTGTTTTGTTATTTGTTCCATCCTTAGCACCTAAAATAGGGCTAGGCCCAGAGTAGGTGCTCGGTGAATATTTGTAGGGTTAATGAGAAGTAGGCCAGCACGTTTTCTCGTAACTTACTAAACCATTTATCCTTATTAAATGTTCATCTTATTTTCCTAATTTTTTGGTCACTGTAAATAATGCTGCTACAAATAGCTTATTCTGTATAGTTAATTTCCTCCTTTTTTTCAATTATTTCTTGGGGCCACATTTCCAGAGTGAATATTGTCAAATGTCCTTCCAGAAGAATTTTTATCAGTTCATAATGCCACCCACTGTTAATAATCGGACTCTGTTTCCATGCTGTCTTGCCACCATTGGATTTTTTTAAAATTAATTATTTATTTTTGGCTGCGTTGGGTCTTCATTGCTGCACGCGGGCTTTCTCTAGTTGCAGCGAGAGGGGGCTACTCTTCGTTTCAGTGCGCGGGATTCTCATTGTGGTTGCTTCTCTTGTTGTGGAGCACAGGCTCTAGGTGCGTGGGCTTCAGTAGTTGTGGCATGCGGGCTCAGTAGTTGTGGCTTGCGGGCTCTAAAGTGCAGGCTCAGTATTTGTGGCGCACGGGCTTAGTTGCTTCGCGACATGTGTGATCTTCCCAGACCAGGGTTTGGACCCATGTGCCCTGCATTGGCAGGCAGATTCTTTTTTTTTAACATCTTTGTTGGAGTATAATTGCTTTATGTTGTTGTGTTAGTTTCTGCTGTATAACAAAGCGAATCAACTATATGCATACATATATCCCCATACCCCCTCCCTCTTGCGTCTCCCACCCACCCTCCCTATCCCACCCCTCTAGGTGATCACAAAGCACCGAGCTGATCTTCCTGTGCTATGCAGCTGCTTCCCACTAGCTGTCTGTTTTACGTTTGGTAGCATATATATGTCCGTGCCACTCTCTCACTTCATCCCAGCTTCCCCTTCCCCGTGTCCTCAAGTCCATTCTCTACACCTGTGTCTTTATTCCTGTCCTGCCCCTAGGTTCTTCAGAACCTTTTTTTTTTCTTTTTAGATTCCATATATATGTGTTAGCATACGGTATGTGTTTTCCTCTTTTTGACTTTCTTCACTCTGTATGACAGACTCTAGGTCCATCCACCTCGCTACAAATAACTCAATTTCGTTTCTTTTTATGGCTGAGTAATATTCCATTGTATATATGTGCCACATCTTCTTTATCCATTCATCTGTCGATGGACACTTAGGTTGCTTCCATGTCCTGGCTATTGTAAATAGTTCTGGCAGGCGGATTCTTAACCACTGAGCCACCAGGGAAGTCCTGTAAGTTCTTTAGTATCTTCTGATATGAATTGTCTGATCCAGACTCCTGATTTTTTTTTTCAGAAGGGAGGTTTTAGATTCATATTTATTTATCCATCCTCTTCTGGGGGCAAAAATATTAATCCTTACTTATATTTATTATAAGTATGTTTCCATTCTGCAATGCCCTTTACCTCTGTTTGTGTTTCTACTTAAACTCTGTGTTTTAATCTTTACAGCTGTGGACTACTGTGCCTCAGAAAACCATGGATGTGAACATGAGTGTGTAAATACTGACAGCTCCTACTTTTGCCGGTGCCCTAAAGGATTTGCTCTTAACCCGGATAAGAAAACATGCACAAGTAAGTTACACACATACACACACATTTTTTGATGCTACTGCTATAAGCACTGTGGCTGAGGAAATCTTCCAAGCACAGAGTAGCACAGGATTATGTGCTGGGGTTAGGGGGCCTTTTACCTTCTGCCCTATTCCTCCGTTGTCAGGCCTTTCTTAACTTGTCCTAAGACCGTAGCCCACTCTATCTCAGTGTCACCCTTCACAGCATCTGACAACAGTATGTATCTTTGATCAGAGACCACATGTCGGAGTGTTCCACCAGCATCTACAGAGCGTGCTGACAATCAGACCATCTTACTTCATGCTGGCTCAGCCTGCCTGTGCCCACCAGTGTTAACAGGGCTTAAGAAATACTTTCACTGAAGCTTTGTGGCTTGTGGGCTGCAGCTCTGACTCCACACAAGTAAAGGGAAATCTCTGAGCCAAAAGGAGTTGACTGTGGTTGCCCCTGGGTGGGGGAGGAGTTGGTGGAGGGCTTTTTGCAGAGAACTGCTCAGTTTTTGTTTGAGCTATTTAGTTCTATTTTAACTATATGCATCCACATCAGAATTAATTTGAGCTCCCCAAATCTGACCATAACAACTTATAAACTGACGGTGGTCGTTCGTTTTGTAAAAGGATTCCAAAAACATTCTTTTAAATGTAAAGATATGTCAGAGCACTTAAGGGATTGTGTATGGATAATTATCATCCTATAGAAAGGTTCACTTGAGAAAGTTTGTTTTTAAAGTGTTGGGGCCCAGCACGTTTAAAAAGTGGCATTTAATAGCAATTTAGAATAAAGTCACCTCTGAAACATCCGTCAGTGAGAAAACAGGATTTCAATTCATAAAAAGTTCATGTACCCACAACCTTTCTAACTACATCTATTATGTAAAGCAGGATATGCCTGCATAGTTTTTAAAAAGCATCCCCCCAAAACTCCTGAAACACCAACTTGCTTTTCAGTCCCTGCATATCAACAGTTTATAAGCACCAGAGCTAGAGGCAGGGGTGGAAGATAAAACTGTAAGGGGCACAGGAAGTCAAAACATACATTTCTGGACCCCAAACCACATGCCAGTAGCAATGAATAAGGCCAGGTCCTTCCTGGAGGAGATATCTCGGCTGAGTCTTGAAGGTAGAGTCATCCTTCACCAGGTAAAGAAGGGTGAGATGTAGGTGGCCAGGAGGAGGAAAGATGTGCAAAAATATCAGCCAGGCAGACCCATCTCCACAACTGGCCTATGGTTGCTTATTGAACGAATAAGAGAAAGAGTGAATGGACTGTTCTGTTCCTAGGCTCCCTTCCTTTCTGAATATTCCGAGCTATGAGCCAGCGGCCTGGGCTGGGGTAGCGTTCGGGGAGTTGTGGCTGCTGGGCTGATGAGTCAGTTCTGTCCATCAAAGGGGAGGCCACATGCCGCCGAGGGCAGTTCAAATCCCAGTTCATCTGCGTTTTTGCTGGATGATCTTTTTTTTTGTTGTTGTTGCGGTACGCGGGCCTCTCCCTGTCGTGGCCTCTCCCGTTGCGGAGCACAGGCTCCGGACACGCAGGCTCAGCAGCCATGGCTCACGGGCCCAGCCACTCCGCGGCATGTGGGATCTTCCCGGACCCGGGCATGAACCCGTGTCCCCTGCATCGGCAGGCGGACTCTCAACCACTGCGCCCCCAGGGAAGCCCTTGCTGGATGATCTTGGGCAAGTTATGCCTCAGTTGCCTCAGCTGTAATAGGGGAGATAATACTGCCTACTCCATGGTGTTGTCTTGAAGGCTAAATGAGAGAATTCATCTAAACCATTTAGCACGTGGCCTGGTGCCAAGCAAATTCTTGAAGGGATGACACTGGCTTCAAAAAGACTAAATTGGGATCTATTGAGCATATACCATGTGCCTGGGGTAAGTTTAATAGTGCCTAAAAAAGTCAAAATTCAAGACTTCTGCTGCAGGCCGCTTGGGAACACAAGCCACACAGAGCAGCTCAGTCACCTGCAAGGTGTTATATGACCAAAGGCTCCCAGGGTGACACAGACAAGACTCATGGTAGGAGTTAAGGGAAGGAGGAGGCCAGCTGGATAAGAAGAGGTGGGGATGCGGCTCCGCCCTGGGACGAGGCCTGGAGGGACACATGTATCCTCTGCAGAGTCTCCTTCCTGCCTCTGTAGCACTCCTTCCCTGGCTGGGGTCAGCTGACCTCACCGCCGGCCCCTGTTCCCGGAGCCTCCCCACCAACATGTCACCTATCCCGAATCTCACGGGATGTGGAGAATGACAAGCCCCAGGACAGTACAGACAGGGAGATCCTAGAAGTAGATAGTGCTGTGCAGGGGACCTGGGAGAGGAGTTCCAGCTGAAAGTCAGGGGAGGGACTGGTCCAGCTGTGAGGTCTCACCAGCTAGGCACGGAGCCTGGCAGTTCAGCTGTCTCTGGGCCCTGTTGGAGTCAAGACCCAGAAGTGGGCCCCCCCACCAGTGTGTGGGCAGAGAAGAGTGCTGGGCAATCAGCCTCCGGGAGATGAGTCCCCTAGAAGGGTCCCCATTCCTG